CTTGCCTGACAAAGGAGAACGCTGAGCTCAAGAAACAAGTGGAGGACCTGAAAGAGAAACTGCTCAATGAGCAAATATCAGCCAATGCTCGAATGGATTTAGTCCTCCAAACCATTTCCTCTGCCTCCAAGCCTTCTCCTTCCAGTGCTCCTTAAATATTGTCCCCTCCGTGTCAAGTCTATAATCTAGTTTGTGGTCACATCCCTTAGTGTCAGTTCTTATGGAAAATTTGTAGTATTTTTGTTGATTGTTCTAAATTGAGGATGTGTTAGTAACATTGACTCTGCTCCTGCTGTAAAATTCAAATTATGTTAATGCAAGATTTTTCCCATTTTGCTATTTATCCCTTGCTTTTATGCTCTGTTTTTAATCATGACTATGTGCACATAGGTGGCATGAGTTAACTTAAAGCTAGACTTCCTTCTTGCTTAAATGCCTGTTACTACTCTTTTTATGATGTCAACTGGGGAAGAATAATTGCAATATGACTTGCACTGAGTAAAGGGGAAAATACAGATTCAGGGGGAACTCTCTTTGAGGTTCCTTGATGTGCACTGATTAAGGGGGAATGCAGAGATTCAGGGGAAAACTTAAGGTCTTTCTGGTTCGTTGTCTGGTTCTATGTGGGCTCTTTATGGGATTTTCAATTATGAGTTTGTCATCATCAAAAGGGGAAAATTGATAGGCCATAAGTACTTTATTTTATGTTTTGATGATTTAACAAACTTACTATCCAGAACCAAATAAGGAACCTGTTACACATTCACATGACCTTAAGTTCACAAGGTTCCAAGTTCAGATGGCTCAACTTCTCAGAGTCGAAGGAGCATCTGAGGGAACAGATCCCTACCAGTTCTCGAGGTGACTGTACGAAGTCAACTCTCTACCTGAAAAGTTGCTGCCTGCACACGCTACAATACTGGAACAGTGCATCAGTCAACTTTCTGTGGAAAGCTTTTTATCTACCTTGCTTACATCATTGTAAGTGATGTCACACATGTATTAATACAATCAAGGAAGGTAAAACTAATAACTTGAACACTTAGAGATTTCGCTCAAGCTCTCTCACGTGATCATCTAGCAAGCAACTCTCAAGTGGCTCAAGAACAAAGAACAAAACAACTACGGACCAGTTCTCACATCAAGTCATTGTATGTCCTTAGTTGAGTTGTAACTTTGTAATAGTTCTTAAATTGTATCTCCTACTTAGCTTGTTTAGAAGCATTCTGTAGGAACTCTTTGTAAATCTTAAACCCCTGTGTGTTTGAGTCTTAGCTAGAGTTAGTCGAGTTGTAAAGTCTTTATAATAGAGTTATTACAAAGTGGCTTGTAATAGAGTATTACAAGTTAGTGAGGGATTAAGAGGTTAATTCCTAGGTTGCATAGGTTGTAATCTAAAAGTTGCTCATTAGTGAAGTTAAAATCCTACAAGGGTAGGTCGTGGTTTTTAATCCCGTTGAGCTGGGAATTTTCCACGTAAAATTCCTCCTGTCATTTATTTACTGATGTGTGTGTAAGCACGTGATTTTTGACCCTCCCCGAGAATTTTCACATTTTTAGTGTGAATATGTGAANTCTCCCCCTGCGCCCCCGGGCGCGGAAAAAGGAGGTGTGACAGTGTGTGTGTGTGTTCTGTTGAACCTGGTAGAGAACCTGGTTCTTTATAGAGTTTGGTGGACCCTTATATTCTATCACAAATTAAAGATACGATGGACTAATACACAGAGGCAGATCCAAGATATAAACCTTATGGGTTTAATTTTTAAGGTTTTTAATATTGAACCTATTACAGTTGTAAAGTTATGAGTTTATATCTATTATTTTTGCAATTTTAATGAATTTTTACATATAAATTTTTACTCTGCATCAAAAGTTATGGGTTCAATTGAACACGTAGATAGAACAGTGAATCTGCCCCTGCTTATCCATAATAGTAGCATATAGTTACAATCTATTCTCTGCCCACATAGAAAAGAGAAAATAAAAAGAAAATCTTGGGTCCTGAGGTTTTGAGATGTTGTTCAAAACTTGTTGGGTTAATTCGACATAAAGACAGTTTTAACATAACGTAGTAGTACTATTACCTTAATTTGGTCAACTCTAGATGATTAATTTAGAGGTATTTTATATATATTAATTGTTAATGTGAAATATTGTTCGCACACCTAACATCACTTATTATTTCCGCCATCTCCGCCTCAGTAAAACTATGCTTTTTTTCTCGAATAAAAATAATTGATTGATATGTGAGCTTTTATGGGTATAGTTGTGTTTGTTCCCTATATTCTTCATCCGGAATGTGAGTGCCAAAGGATGTCGCAAACCTCATTTGAATGTATTTATTCTCCATGAAAGCCAAGCATTGAGTGGATCTTTTTCTTGAAATATATGATTACCAAGAAGAACGTCCCCTGATCACACTATTATTTTATGTGCTGATTTCTTTATAAATATTCCGAAAGTTTATAAGATTTTCGAGATGATATCTTTGTGAATATATCAAGAGTTTACGGGATTCCAAAAATTAAACAATTATATTTTTTCGACTTCAAATTCAGTGATCTGTGTTATAAAATTTACGAAGAGTTATGGGATTGGCCGTTCAATACCAAACAATAGCAGGAATCTCGCCGGGAAAAGGTAGAGCATATCCCCATCACGTGCGGTCTATGAAATTTAACACAAATTTCATAGTAATGTAGTACGTTAGTTTCATTTCTTCCAATGTCATCTCACCTCATCTCAACATTAATATATTAAGCTTTCTTACTACAAAACAAAAATAAAATCTTTTGTATATTCACTTCCATGACGACTAGGTCCTTAGCTATGACTAATAATTTAACTGTTAACATATCTCACTTCTCTCTTAATCATGTAGTATTATTTTATTGCTCAAATAACGTGTTGGATCTTGGCCAAGTTTGTTTTCTTTTAGATATTAATGTTCAACTCATTCTTTATCATGCGAGTTACATTGTGTGCACCTCAGTTAATTTACCAAGAACCAACTAGTATTTTTTTGAGAAAATTTCGAAAAGCACTACAATTTCATACCTAATTACAATTTGTAATTAGTATTTTAATATTTATAATTCGGTAGCAAATCTTCTCTGCCATGCGTCTGTATTTATTCGCGCAACGAATACAACATGTATCAATTGTATTCGTTCGCACAACTAATGCAATATGTATCAACTGCATTCATTCGACGTTCATGTAACAAATACAACCAAGGCAAAATACAAAAATATAGGGGTGTGTACAAGCATACAAACAACAAAAATACAATCAAACATACATGGCGCAAAACAAATACAAAAATTACATACATTGTGTAAAATCAAGGCGAAATACATAAATACGAAGATTTGCCTGAAATTCTTTCCTCGGAATACAGAAATATAGATGGATTTGTCATAAAAATCAAATATAACTACGAATGATAGTTTTCTAAAAGTATAGTTATGAATGACAAATAGAACATACAATAATTTTCAAATACAACATATAAGTTAGCTACACCATATAAATTTTCTATCTTTTACTAGAACATATAGTAGATAATTCTACCATATATATAAGAAAAAATCATCAACTATTTTTTATGTCACTAGAATTGAAACCTTGATCTCTCGTCAGTTTATTCTTTAGCTTATTTTTGAGCATCTATACTTTCCGGTCAACAATACAATGCTATGTCAAGCTAGTAGCCTCTAGTATCTAGCTACCTATAGGTAGAGTAAAAAATAGTGATGAAGATCTAAGATCTTCACGAAAACCGTGAAATTGACTTAAATTTTCAGCATAGACACTATTTGAGTATTTGTCATGTTGATGTGGAATGAGGTGGGGTACTTTAGGGGTGTATAAGTAAGAGTTGAGGAAAGATGTTAATATTAAAATGAAAAAGAGATAATATAAAGATAACATGGGCTTGCGTGCTACTACTGACACAAAAGAGGCCCCAAAGCTAAGTTGGCTGATAAACTAAGGCTAAATTATCTCGTGTGTCCACTCCCACTTGACTTTGTAATCTTAACCCCAGTTTGGGAGACATATGGAGAAGGATGCTATGGTTTACCCCTTTCCATTTTATTTCTTCAATAACATCACAATTTTATTATTCGATTGAATGTTGGTTAATTTTCATCACTGCAGTTACTGTATAACTTTGTCAATGACAATTTAGGCAAAAGGACATGACAACTACGGTACACAAAATATTTCGCGTTCACACAGGGTTTGAGGAAGGGCTACACCTTAAGGGATGTGATGTTCAAGCAACCTCCTCTAATGCAAGTATTAATGTCTGCTAGGTTACACAGAAACAATTTTAGCGTTGTTTCATGGCTCCCTTCATGGTTCAAATGAAAAAAAAAATCTTACACCTAATGCTTTTGTATCTATTGAAATGTAAACATTGGTTTTTCATAATTTTTGCCAACTTCATTAATCGTTAGTCCTTTATCACATAGTGGCAATATAGAATTTTGACAGCCGATACAAATATGTATATTACTTTCGACTCGAATTATATGTATATTTAAATAAAGTTAACATATTTGTGATGATAGAAAAATAGTGAAATATTGTTGTGATGCTTCATACTCGTTAATTAAAAATCTTAAATTCACTCAAAGGAGTATCTAGTGTTGTAGTACCGGGTTCATCTGAACTCAGAACTTTCGACACGGAGTATAAACTTAATGTAAAAATCATTAAAATTTTAACATATAGTGAGTCTGAAATCATAACTTTAAAAATATAATAAGTTCAATATTAAGAAGCTGAATTCATAGAATTAAAATCTTGGATCCTCCGCATACTTCGCTTATGCTCACATCACAAAAGGACCCATATCCTAATCCCACC